CATTTGTACTTAACTAATTGTTTAGTAACTTCGATTACCACAGAAGTGATGGGTATGACATGCCTCGATAAGTCAATAAACTAGGCCATTTTTTCTTTTGTTTGTTTTTTTAAAGCGAGCAGCCATGGCCCAAATGGTATGATACAGAGTGAAAAGAAGAAATTAACATGGCTAGTTAGGAACCAAAATGGAATGACAAGAAAAAATCAATATAGTTGAGTAAGGACGAAAATAGATTGGTAAAGATTAATTGGCATGGCCGATTAAAAACTAAAATGAATAAGTAAAGCCATATTGGTATGGCTGGTCGGGGACCATGTTGGACTAGTAAGGTCAAATTGGTGTCGTTGGGCAAAGATCAAAATGGATCGATAAAACCAAATTAGTGTGTTTGGTCATGAACCAAGATGGATTGGTAAGATCAATTTAGGGTGGCCAATCAAGTACCAAAATAGACTAGTAATGCTAACTTGTTTTTGTCCGATAAGGGACCAAGATAGAGTGGTAAGAACAAATTTGTGGAGCTAGGTAAGGATAAAAAAAAAAAAAAAAAAACTAGCAAGGCAAATTAGTGTGGTTGGTTAAGGACAAAATTAGTGTGACTAGTTAGAGAGCATGATAGAACGGTAAAGCTAAATTTGTATGGTTAGACAATTAAAAAAATATTGAAAAAAATGTTGGTCAATGTTTACTAGCCATAACTTTCTTTTTCATGTAAAAGAAAAAAGAGAAGACAAAAATATAAAGGGAGTGAGTTATAAATTAATCCATTTATATTTTAAGAAATGAATTAATTAGTCCTTTTTGTTTCAAAAACTAATCACTTAGTACTCTACTATTGCTAACCACGCTTAATTTAATATTATTTTATTCTAAAATCATATATATATATATATATATATATATATATATATATCATATATATATATATATTTATCAATCCTTCTATATTTTTTCTTTTTTCTTTTTCCATTATCAAAACAAAAAATCAAAATAAATTGAAAAAAATATTAAGTTACAAGAAAATTTAAAAATCTAGAGACCAAATAATTAGTTTTTAAAACAAGAATGACTAATTAATCATTTTTCAAAACTTTAATAACTAATTTATAATTTACTCACAAAAGGGGTGTACACATATAGAAAGAGAGTAAGAAAAGAAAAATCTATGAAAATTTACTTGTATTTTTTCATGTGTTGTAGAAGTCAAAGTCGTGGTGATTTTTCCGAAATCTTGAGATAGGAACTCTTTATTACTCACCATTTCTCTCAAGTTAGGGATTTATGAAGCAAAGTTTTGTCTAAAAGCTAAGATTTTTCTTTTGAATGGATATTTGATGGTAAACAAAATTTCTATAATATTTTTAATTAATCTTTTTGGACTTGAAAAGTCAAAGTGCACCATATAAAAGGACAAACACATACTACTCAATTAACAAATTATAAGTGAGTAACATCTTCTTTACAAAATAATTATCATTGTTATTTCCATTGCACTTGCATTTTGAATTTAAATTTTTATATTTATTAATTATGAAATTTAAAATATATGTGCACAATATTATCCTTATATTAATTTGAACAAAATAATTATATAATTAGATTTAATATTAGCCAATGCCAATATTGTAATAACTTATTTACAAATACATGACTTCTCACATGAAATCCATACAAAATTTACAAAAATAAAAGATTTGAGAATAATTCAAGAAATTTGCTTGATATAAGAAAGTATATTTCCTTTTTGGTCATGAAGATTAAAAACCGAAACTGCGATGACTATTCAAATCGACTTTAATAGCACGTTTTGATTATAAATAAACTCAAATAATATTGCTTGCTTAAAAAGAAGAAGAAGAAAGAAAGTCTATAACACAAATCTAGTGTTATATTTTTTTAATAAGGTTAATCCTTGGGCAGAACTTATAAATTTATGCTTGTATTGATTATTCATTTTTATTTAATCAATTAAACTTTGTATTTATGTCAATTACTCATTTTACCCCTGTCTTTGAATTTGTTCGATTAACCTTTGTGTTTAATTCGTTCAATTAAATCTTATAGTCTCTAAATTTGTCTAATTAATCCAACGACTTAGTCCTTAAAATAAACTAAATGAGATCATAGTTATTCAGATCCAAATCGTACAAACATTAATTATCCAAAATCGAAATTAACAATAAAACATTAAATAAGAAACCTTAGATCAAACTTTGAGATTTGAATTTAAGGATTTTGCCTTTTCCGACAAATTCAACTTCATTAACAACAAGGATTTTATCTCGATTCTTAGAATAAACTAAATCAATTTGCCATTGATTGAGATATAAATTATACAAATATTAATCATCCAAAACTCAAACTTTACAATAAACGATTAAACAAGAAGCCATAAATAAAACCCGAGATCTAAATTTAGGGTTTTTTTCCCTTAATTTTTAAGATAAGCCAAATCAAATCACCGATGATTAAGGTGTAAATTATACCAGAATTAATCATCCAAAAGTAAAACACAACGAGAAAACATTAAATCATAAGGCTAAGTTTGTTTAGGAGAAAACAAGTTCACGTTTAGGAAAAAGTCAACGAGAAAATGATTTACGGTAAATGAAAAATGATAAAGTATTTTTGAAAAAATGTTTTCCTAATTAAAAAAGAGGAAAACATTTTCCTTCTCATGAGTTGTCTCACTCTTGCATTATTTACCTCTCTTTCGATATATTTTAACAATTTTTTTCTCTATCTTCTTTTTATTTAAAATATATCAAATTAATTTTTATTCCTTATCAATTATTATTAATTATTTAATTGTTTTTCTCTATTTCTACTAATATTTGATTTTTTGATTTATAGATACGTTAAATATGCTTAAAAACTATTTTTACACCTTAAAATTATTTTTATAATAAATATTTTAATAATTTATCTTTATTTTTTTTATCGTTATCTCAAACATCACCTAAACTATACTTAAATGATTGAAAATGATTATTACAAGACCGTAATTTTTTATAAAAAATTTGAAATTAATTAATTAATTAATAAATACATTATTTTTCAACACTATTCGTTTGCAACTAAATCAATAATTTGTAATTTTAATCGGTTGTAAAATTTTGTTGGTAATTGTAGTGAATAATTAGTTACAAATTATTCCAACATTAATCCTTTAAAACCAAATGAATAATTATCTACAAATGATAACTAATAATTTATAAAACTATTTTTTAGACGAAATTATCAATTCAATTTTAAAAAAATAAAAATTCTTAATTGAGTTACTAAAATAGCAATGCTAGGATTACTCAATTTTTTTTTTTTACTAAATGTGAATATTGACTTGATTTTATCCCAAGTAATATTGATGAATTGGTTTGATGGTTAAAAAAATATATTTTATTTTTTGAATGAAAATTTTAGAGTCGGTATTTATAAAAAATTATTAAATTTTTCTAAATGTATCTTATATTATAAAATTGTGAATATGCCTTTTTAAAGTTTTCTCAAAACTTGTTGATGTAACAATTACATACTATTTTTATATTTTAATTTTCTGTATCAAACAAATGCTACAATATATTTTTTAGGAGTTTTTTTATATAATTGTCAAATGGCGAGAAAATATTTGTTTTGGAAAATAATTTTCTAAAAAGTAGCTTCTTCATGAATTGATTTTCTTTCCTTAGTTGTTTTCAGCCAAGTAAACGGAGCCTAAATCACAGGTAACCAACAAAATCATTTTAATTATCGAGATTAGACAATATCAACATGTTTCCAATTCTATTTTCTAAAACTATGAATCTTTATATTAAGAGCTTTGTAGCTTATAGGGAAGACAAAACAAATAAGTTCACAGCCAGAGTAAGGGAAAGATCCGTTAATTGCCATATCAAAATTATGATTACAAAATACGGGATTAAGATTTTTTTTTATCTTCCTTTGCATTACAAGTAAATATAGATTATTAAATTTAAATTGAATCTACATGATTTGATTTCATGTATAACAAAAACAATAACAACTTAATTATATTTTTTTCTCGCATAATCTAAATTGTTGCATTTAAAACCCATGAAAAGATTTGAAACTTGATCAGCTATATTCCAAATATGCATATCTACTACACCTTAATGCTTCTTTAACTAGTTAAAAACAATTAAAACACGTTCCCGTCAAAAATCAAAATATGGAATGTTTATCCATTGATTCAAATATTTAATTTGTCAAGCCGTTGCCAAATAAAAATGTACCCTGCAAGTAGTATACATACGAAAGCGAACACAAATTCTGAGAGTACCCAATAATCCGTTCTAGTTTTTAGTTTTCCTGCAAGTTTTTTTTTTTTTCCTTCCTGACGTTCCATACCTGTTAAAAGATACACTCAAACGTCTTTCGTTTTGCCTGATGCGAACTCCATCGTCATTAAGATGCTTAGCGACAAAATCTAGGACATGATCTACCTTCATTAACATCCGCCTATCATTAAGCACCACAGGAACAGAGACAAGCCAAAAGCGAAAACAAGAGAGGTCGGGTCATGAACTCACGGGTCAGGTCCGAATCTGATGTCAGTGGATAAAACAAAAAAAAATCCCAGAGTGCATTTTCAAGCCAACCAAAACGCACAACATAACACGTCTGTCTTTTGGGCAGGATTTTTTTTTTTTTTTCCTTCTAATTTTTAATCTGTCCTTTTCTCATTTCTTAAACACGAGATCATCACCTCCTGCTTCTAGTTAAGTATTTCACATTCCATTTCCTTTTCATTTTTAACAGTTTATTATAGCAAACAGTGACACTCTCTTCTCCCTCTCCCTTTCTTTCTTTAGATCTCTCTTTCTTTTCTTTTGATTCTGATAGGATATTTTAGGGTTTCATCACTGCTTTAGATCTTGCAGCGATTTAAATACTCAACGTTGTAGACTCTCAAGTCGACGGTTCAATTTCAATCACAGATCTGATTCGCAGATTTTGAGCCGTCGATCTAATCAGCAACCATGGCGGCAGCAAACGCCCCGATCACCATGAAGGAAGTCTTAACTGTAACTACTCTGACTTACTGCTGTCTTTTCGCTTGTTTTTCATTTCTGTCTGAATTTAAGCTCAGTTTAGATAGAAAATCGTGCATCGAACTGAAATATGAGTGCTTATGATTAAGATAAGAGATTGATCAATCATTGGTGCTCAATTTTGGATCTAGAACCTGCTGATTTGTAATTTAGCTTGATATGGCACGTGAAAAGTTAGCTTGTGCCACAGTTTATACATCCGATATTTTGTTTCTGTATTCAGATCTACTGATTATTTTGTTATGGAGCCTGTGAGTGCTTAGTTGCTGTAATTATTTGATTTAAATCACTTCAATTTTGTAGTTTCTTGGGAAATGCTAGTAATTGAGTGGTGATTTATAAGTTTGGAGGAATTGGGTTGGTGAATTTTGTGTGATCTGTTGTTTTTGCAGTTACCGGCTGTTGGGATTAGTCCTCAGTTTATCACCTTTACAAATGTAACGATGGAATCCGACAAGTATATATGTGTACGGGAAACAGCGCCACAAAATAGTGTTGTAATTATCGATATGAACATGCCGATGCAGCCGTTGAGACGGCCTATCACAGCAGATTCTGCTCTCATGAATCCGAATTCTAGAATCCTTGCTTTGAAAGGTAGGATTTGATTGTTTGAATCCTCTGGTTCTTCTATTTGTTGATAATGAATCATGGACATCGCTTTTCTTGTGATTATATATGGGTATACATAACATTTCTAGATTGTATTTTAGCGCATTGTTTTCCTTTTTTGGAAGTTTTTGGAAAATCACTTTATGTCCCAGTGCATGAGGGCAGATGGTCCATGTTTTTCTCCTTTTCTATGTTTGTTACAATTCCTTCTAAATGTATGTTGTTGTTTGCGCTAAAGAACTCAACCAAGAGGTTGAGACTAGGCAACAACTGAGTGCGCATTACTTATAATCTGTCTTCACTCTTACACGGCTTATCATTTCTTTTCTTGTGGATTTGTCTTTAATCATACAGATACTGCTTTTGTCATCAACTAACTCTAGGTTGAAATTACAACACATTTGGACAGTCCTTGATTATCTGGAATCTTCTATATGAATTTGCAAAATTATTTTCTTCTCTGGTTAAAAATCATTGCCACATTAGCTGCACATGAAATTAATGTCTGATATCTAGTAGCATTTTAATGAAGATTAAATTCGAACTGGATATGTTATCTTAATCTAAACAGACGCTATGATTTGGATTTTTTTCCATTTTTTTATTGCCATACTAGCTATAATGATAATGTGAATTTTTAAGCTGATTTCATCAATCAGACCAGCATGTCATATGTAAATTTCTGCAATTCCTGTCTGTCTAGGAATTGTTTATGAAGCCGTGTAAAAATGTTTTGATTGCTTTTGAAGCATATTATTTATTTGAATATGGGTGCACACACATGTGATTTTATCTAGATCTGTTCCTTTTGCTGATGAATTGTGTCATTCTTTTGAAGCCCAACTTCCGGGAACTACTCAGGATCACTTACAAATATTTAACATCGAGATGAAAGCAAAAATGAAATCATACCAGATGCCTGAGCAGGTATTAACTTTTTTAATCTTCCTTGTAACATTTTGTGACATGCTATTTGATGGTTGGTATTGTTTTTACTGAAGCTGTAGTGATTTAGATTTTCTGAACTGTCTCTTTGCTTTATGCCTAGATTGTCTTTTGGAAGTGGATAACGCCAAAGATGTTGGGCCTGGTTACACAGACTTCAGTTTATCATTGGTCTATTGAAGGTCAGAATCCTTTTGTGGTCCTAAATTTGTGGCATATCCTGCCCTTCTTCACTGGCCTGTTTAGTCTTACTTCTCTGCATGCTTTCCAATCCATGTTGTTTCTCTGTTCATTGTTATTTTCAAATTGTTTTTGCTTATACGAAGGCAATTGTTTCATACAATTTAGGTGATTCTGAACCAGTGAAGATGTTTGATAGAACAGCTAATTTGCAAAGCAATCAGATTATAAACTATAAATGTGACCCTTCTGAGAAATGGCTAGTTTTGATTGGAATTGCGCCTGGTTCACCTGAGGTATGTTGTTGGCTTTGGTAATTTTTGTTTGAAGTCTGTTAAATTACTCTCTCTTTTTCCAAGAAAACAATGCTCTTTGTTTTCTTAGGGAAAAAATTTAGACTTTCCATGATTAGGGAGTTACGAATGCATGTTAAATATAGATGGCAGTAGTACCTGTACTGTGGATGTTCAGGAAAGCCTGGATCTTCTGATGTGGTGGTATTTTAATATCAAACTAGGCGAGGTTGGGCTGGCCAACATAGTGACCTGACCTCTGGTTGGGGTGTTGTTTGTCTTCATATGAATTAGGGAAGAACGCTTTATGACTGTTTTTCAGCCGTCTTGTTTCTTCATTACAAGTACTTAATTCCCTCTGCCATTTTGCCTTACAGTGGTTACTTGTTTATCTTCAACAGTTTTGACCCATAGTTTGTTAGGGATAACTCTTATTACAGTTAAGTTCATGAGGTTTATTTCTTTATGAATGTTTTTCTACAACCTGATGGTGTTAATGGTTTTGAGTATGGATATGTTTGTTTACAGAGGCAACAATTGGTCAAAGGGAACATGCAACTTTTCTCTGTGGATCAACAACGTAGCCAAGCTCTTGAAGCACATGCTGCATCATATGCGCAATATAAGGTATGGAGTTTTTCTGAACCATAATAGTGTATTTCTTTCTTGCATTGCATTTCTTAACTTTTTTGTAACAAGGGTCCTAACTCCCATTTATGGTATTGAGCAGCTTCCAGGAAACGAGAACCCTTCTACTCTCATTTCTTTTGCCTCAAAATCTTTTAATGCCGGGCAGATTACATCGAAGTTGCATGTTATCGAGCTTGGTGCCCAGCCAGGTCAGTTTTCTTCATTCACTTTCACCATGTCTCTTGTTTTTCCAGTTTCTTTTTCTCTATCTGTCTTCCTTCTCTTCCTCTCTGTCTAGGTTTGAGCAACATGTTTCGAATCCTTTTAACATTGTCTTTTGTGTTTATGATCAGTTATCTTGAAATGACTCCCTCTATTACCGTACCTTGCATTTGGAGTTCTGAATCTTCATTCCTGGTCTTAACAATTGCAACTTGTTACAGGGAAGCCATCATTTACGAAGAAACAGGCAGACCTGTTCTTTCCTCCCGATTTTGCTGATGACTTTCCTGTGGCAATGCAGGTATCTGCTATACCTTTTTTTTTTTTTTTTTTTTTACAAACTTAGCTTTATTGATTAGCAGTTTCCTGATAACTCTTAAATCTTCTAAATGGCAGATATCCCAGAAATACAGTTTGATTTATGTGATCACAAAGCTTGGGCTGCTATTTGTTTATGATTTGGAGACAGCTACTGCAGTTTACCGAAACAGAATTAGTCCAGATCCAATATTTTTGACAGCCGAGGCTTCAACAGTGGGGGGTTTTATGCCATTAATAGGCGAGGCCAGGTGTTACTGGCTACTGTAAATGAAGCAACGATTGTGCCATTTGTTAGTGGCCAGGTATGCTCATATGCTTCCTTTCTTTCTTAGTAACATTCATGGAAATGTTCTCTGGTTTTGGATTAATCTGATTATCTTTTCTATAGTTGAATAATCTGGAGCTTGCTGTCAATCTTGCCAAAAGAGGAAACCTTCCTGGTGCTGAGAATCTGGTAAGTCATTTGTTTCTTATTCTTTTTTTTTTTTTTTCAAGTTTACTTTGTGCTTCTCTTGTGATGAGATCAGTTGCCTGCTATCTTGGGGATTGCAGGTTGTCCAGCGTTTTCAAGAATTGTTCGCTCAAACAAAGTATAAAGAAGCTGCTGAGCTTGCTGCTGAGTCTCCACAAGGAATTCTCCGAACTCCTGACACGGTTGCCAAGTTTCAGGTTCTCTTTGTTTTACTCAGTGGCAATGTTCTCTCTGTTTGAATTCTACTCTTCATTCCATTTTGATGAAATTAACCATAGCAAGTTGTTTCTATCTATTTGAAATGTGCAGAGTGTTCCTGTGCAACCTGGGCAAACACCTCCCTTATTGCAATACTTTGGGACCCTTTTAACGAGAGGAAAGCTCAATGCATTTGAGTCGTTGGAATTGTCTCGCCTTGTGGTCAATCAGAACAAAAAGAATCTTTTGGAGAACTGGTTGGCAGAGGACAAGTTGGAGTGTACTGAGGAACTGGGAGACCTTGTGAAGGTTTGATTTATAGATTATTAAATCCTTATTTGTTGAAGTTTTGATAAGATGCCTTGAGTTTATGTTTCAGCAAGTTCTAACTTGTTTTTATTGATGATGTAAATTTTGTTGATCATGTTGCCACTGTAGACTGTGGATAATGATCTTGCGCTGAAAATCTATATTAAAGCTAGGGCAACTCCAAAAGTTGTTGCGGCTTTTGCTGAGAGAAGGGAGTTTGACAAAATTTTGATTTACTCAAAGCAGGTAAAGGACATCTTTTTTTTTTTTTTTTCAATTGCTTAATTATCCCATTTTATTGTTTCAATGTTTCTTAATCATATCTGTTATTTATTTTTTTCAGAATACCTCCTATCATTCTTGTTCTTATTGTATTAATTTTGATCAATTATGGGGTCTGATTCCATTTGTGTTCTCTTTTGTTGCTTTAGGTTGGGTATTCTCCTGACTATTTATTCCTTCTGCAAACAATTCTCCGTACAGATCCACAGGTATCGTTTCTCAGTGATTTTAATTTGTACTTGTTTAGTTTCAGACATAAAATTATGCTGTATTTACTGGCTCTTGAACTTATTTATCTCAAAATGAACTTGTTCTGAGATGTTTTTAATAAACTAAAGTTTCTTCTTGAATTTGGACTGTAGGGAGCAGTTAACTTTGCTTTGATGATGTCCCAAATGGAAGGTGGCTGTCCAGTTGACTACAATACCATTGCTGATCTCTTTCTTCAGGTTTGTCCATAATTGTCGCTTCTTTTGATATGTTGATTTATGTCATATGAAATGCATTGGAAGTCAATTTTTGTTGGTTGCAAAGTTTATCATATTGTCATTCTGTGCGATTCTCTGCAACTCTAATGGACGTGTCCCTTTCTTTCTTAGAGGAACCTGATCCGTGAGGCAACAGCCTTTCTGTTGGATGTTTTGAAGCCAAATTTAGCAGAGCATGGTTACCTGCAAACAAAGGTTTATTGGTTGACATAGTTTTACATGAAGCTTTTCTATTTATATTTGTACACCTTCATCAATGTTTGGCTTTGATACTCTCTCTCTCTCTCTCTCTCTCTTTTCTTATTTTAGGTTCTGGAGATAAATCTGGTAACATTTCCTAATGTAGCTGATGCTATTCTAGCCAATGGAATGTTTAGCCACTATGATCGTCCTAGAATTGCTCAACTCTGTGAAAAAGCTGGTCTTTACATCCGAGCCCTGCAGGTAATTTTTGCTTGGCTCGTCTTTTTTCCATATTCCGTGAAGTCTATTGCCATTCCCTTGAGTGAATATTTTACCTTTCCTGCAGCATTATACAGAGTTGCCAGATATTAAACGTGTGATTGTGAATACACATGCAATAGAGCCACAGGTGTGTTTTGTCAAATTCCTGTTATCTTATTCTAGGATTGGAAATGTCAAGCTGCTAATCTAATATGCTGTTCTTTCCAGGCACTTGTTGAGTTTTTTGGCACTCTTTCACGAGAATGGGCTTTGGAGTGCATGAAGGATCTCTTGCTGGTCAATCTAAGAGGCAACCTTCAGATAATTGTTCAGGTACATGAAGTTTGTCTTAGAGTAGTTTGTCAAGAGCTTTCGCATGTCATGATGCTAACTTATGGGCATCTGTGCAGACTGCCAAGGAATATTGTGAGCAGTTGGGCGTTGATTCATGTGTAAAACTTTTTGAGCAATTCAAGTCATATGAAGGGCTTTACTTTTTCTTGGGGTCATATCTGAGTTCGAGGTATTATGTTTAGAGAATCAGAAATTTTCTTCTCTTTTTGGTCTTAACATGGTTGTTTAAATTTTTTATTTATTGTGGTCCCTTTTCCTGTGAATTATGTGGCAGTGAGGATCCTGATATACATTTTAAGTACATTGAGGCTGCTGCTAGAACCGGACAAATAAAAGAGGTTGAGCGTGTTACTAGGGAGTCGAATTTTTATGATCCTGAAAAGACAAAGAACTTTCTGATGGAAGCCAAGCTTCCAGATGCAAGGCCTCTGATTAATGTTTGTGACCGTTTTGGCTTTGTTTCTGATCTCACGCACTACCTCTACTCAAACAACATGCTTCGTTATATAGAAGGTTATGTTCAAAAGGTATGCGATTTTTTGCCTGCCTCAGTTACTGTTCCAAAGATCATATTGATTGTTCTCAATTTTTAGTATTTGGAAATTGGCATGCCTCTCTTGACAGGTGAACCCAGGGAATGCTCCTTTAGTTGTCGGGCAGCTGTTAGATGATGAATGCCCTGAAGACTTTATCAAGGGCCTTATTCTTTCTGTCCGTTCTTTGCTTCCAGTTGAGCCCCTTGTAGAGGAATGTGAGAAGAGGTAGCTCCAAGTCTGCCCCTGATTTTTGGTCCTTGTTCCCTTTTATTTCATTGTTCTAATTCTTTGTGGATTTCAGAAATCGCCTTCGTTTGCTCACTCAGTTCTTGGAACATCTCGTGAGTGAGGGAAGCCAAGATGTACATGTTCACAATGCTCTTGGTAAAATCATCATTGATAGCAATAACAACCCAGAACACTTCCTGACTACCAACCCTTACTATGATTCGCGGGTTGTGGGCAAGTATTGTGAGAAACGTGATCCCACCCTGGCTGTTGTAGCTTACCGTAGAGGACAATGTGATGGCGAACTTATCAATGTCACAAATAAGAACTCTTTGTTCAAGTTGCAAGCCAGGTTTGTTGATTTGTTTTTTTTTTTTTTTTTTTTTTTTGAATTGGAACATTTCATTCTCAGAAGGCTCATATACTTGGTACTATGGTTGCAGATATGTGGTTGAACGGATGGATGCTGATCTTTGGGAGAAGGTTCTTAATCCTGAAAATGAATACAGAAGACAGCTTATCGATCAAGTTGTATCTACTGCTTTGCCGGAAAGTAAGAGCCCAGAACAAGTTTCTGCTGCTGTTAAAGCTTTCATGACTGCAGATCTGCCCCATGAATTAATTGAGCTTCTCGAGAAGATTGTGCTCCAAAACTCTGCATTCAGTGGGAATTTCAATCTTCAAAACCTACTTATCTTGACGGCCATTAAGGCTGATCCTTCTAGGGTTATGGATTATATTAATAGATTAGATAACTTTGATGGACCTGCTGTTGGGGAAGTGGCAGTTGAAGCTCAGCTATATGAGGAAGCATTTGCAATTTTCAAGAAGTTCAACTTGAATGTTCAGGCTGTTAATGTCTTATTGGATAACATCCAAAGCATTGACCGTGCTGTGGAGTTTGCATTCCGTGTTGAAGAAGATGCTGTTTGGAGCCAGGTGGCAAAGGCTCAACTCAGAGAGGGTCTTGTGAGTGATGCAATTGAGTCGTTTATTCGTGCAGATGACGCTACTCAATTCCTGGAAGTCATTCGTGCTGCTGAGGGTGCAAATGTCTATCATGACTTGGTGAAGTACCTTCTCATGGTTAGGCAGAAGGCTAAAGAACCGAAGGTGGATAGTGAGCTTATTTTTGCATATGCAAAGATTGATAGGTTGGGTGACATTGAGGAGTTCATTCTCATGCCAAATGTGGCTAATCTCCAAAATGTTGGTGATCGCTTATATGATGAAGCTCTTTACGAGGCTGCAAGAATTATATTCCAGTTTATAGCAAACTGGGCCAAATTGGCGAGCACGCTAGTGAAGTTGAAACAGTTCCAAAGTGCTGTTGATGCAGCTCGGAAAGCCAACAGTGCCAAGACATGGAAGGAAGTTTGCTTTGCTTGTGTTGATGCTGAGGAGTTCCGTTTGGCTCAGATATGTGGTCTTAACATCATTATACAGGTTGGTTTTTTTAATTATTAATTTTTTTTAATCAAAATTCTATTGCAAAGGAAATGATATCCGAGGCTATTCCAGTTGTGTTGATCTTTCAAAGCGAAACTTAGAAATATTTTCTTCCTGTCTGGTAAACTTCTCACATTAATGTGCTTACCTTTATAATAAGTTTTTTTTTGACATAAAAATGTAGTATGTCTAATATTCTTCTTGCGTAATGATTTTAAAATGTGCTTCCTTACCCATTTGGAATTTGTACTGATTCGTGCTCCTTTTGTTTATCTGAAATTAACAAGTTGATTTGTCCTATTTTAGCATTTTGTACAATTTATTTGTCAAATTATTATTATTTTTTTTTTGGGTTTTGGAAATTGTAGGTGGATGATTTGGAGGAGGTCAGCGAATATTACCAGAATAGAGGATACTTCAATGAATTGATCTCTCTCATGGAGAGTGGTTTAGGTTTAGAACGTGCACATATGGGCATTTTCACGGAGTTGGGAGTGCTGTATGCTAGATATCGTCCTGAAAAGCTTATGGAGCACATTAAATTGTTCTCAACCCGTCTTAATATTCCTAAGCTTATCCGAGCTTGTGATGAACAGCAACACTGGATGGAACTTACCTATTTGTACATTCAATATGATGAATTTGATAATGCTGCAACTACCATTATGAATCATTCTCCTGAGGCATGGGATCACATGCAATTCAAAGATGTTGCCGTCAAAGTTGCTAATGTGGAGCTATATTATAAGGCCGTGCATTTCTACTTGCAAGAACATCCTGATCTTATCAATGATCTTCTCAATGTGTTGGCACTCCGTGTGGACCACACTCGTGTTGTTGACATTATGCGGAAGGTTTTTACTCGTGCTATTGCATGTTATTTTCAGGAGAAGCAGATTTTGACTCTTCTAATGGCTCAAACTCTCTTGATTATGTGATATTTCTTTGTGGTTTTCAGGCTGGTCATTTGCTTCTTGTGAAGCCATACATGATTGCAGTTCAGAGTAACAATGTGTCTGCTGTGAATGAGGCTTTGAATCAAATTTATGTAGAGGAGGAGGACTATGAAAGATTGCGTGAATCAATTGATTTGCATGATAATTTTGATCAGATTGGTCTTGCACAGAAGGTAACATCTATAATATTTTTATTTCTCATCACTGATGTAAATCTCATTTTATAATCCATTTTGGCACTAATTTGCCCAGATTGAGAAACATGAGCTTCTTGAAATGAGACGTGTGGCTGCATACATTTACAAGAAAGCAGGAAGATGGAAGCAATCCATTGCATTGTCAAAGAAGGATAACCTTTACAAAGATGCCATGGAGACAGCATCACAGTCTGGTGATCGTGAACTTGCAGAAGAGTTGCTGGTTTATTTCATTGAACAGGTATGTACTGCAGTGTTAGATTATATTTCTTTGGCAATGCATAAATGATATGACATCTTTTATTGGCATGGCTGATTGAACATTTTTAGCAAGTCCTTCATTTTCTCCTTCCACTATAAATGGGCGAGTTTACTTGGTTGCACTTAGGTGTGTGATGCCTCCTTTTCATTGCTGGAGAGGTAGACAAATGTGAACCCTGTCTATTGCATTTTCCTTGTTTATTAGTCTTGGTGTAATACTTCACTCCAAATGATTCCTCCACCTGTACATCTCATGGGTGACGCTTGTGATTTACAAGTCTTATGATTTTCAATGTTCTCTATTGTTTTATTATTGGGCCCTAATTTTACCATGCCATTTTTTCCATTTTTAATGTTCTTGATCGACTCATTGACTGCTTTTATTTTGTGATCGTGCAGGGCAAGAAGGAATGCTTTGCATCATGCCTCTTTGTTTGTTATGATTTGATCCGGCCAGACGTTGCCCTTGAGCTTGCCTGGATGAATAATATGATCGACTTTGCCTTCCCCTACCTGTTACAGGTGATTTCTTAGCTGCTGTGTGTATAGTTTTTCGCATATGTTTGTGATCTGCATTCTATGAGCAAGACAACCTTTTTCACCTACTTGGCCATGCTACCTGGAATATTCAAGTCTATGCATGGTGATTCTCTCATCTTCCTTCTTTCCTTGTAGTTTATCCGAGAATACACAGGCAAAGTTGATGAACTTGTGAAGCACAAAATTGAGGTGCAGAAAGAAGTCAAGGCTAAAGAGCAGGAGGATAAGGATGTAATTGCTCAGCAGGTAATCATTTTGCATCCAGGTGGTGTTAAAGGATATGGTCTCAGAGTTCGCACAATTAGTGTTATAAACTGCATCTTTGAAATGGGTTTATCTGGAAGAGTTGGTTCCACATAAACATTGAGTTTTACGTGTCCCACCTGAATATGTGTTTTTTGCAGTTTTTTATTGTTAAATATTTTCTTGATTGAATCATGTGATTTGTTGCAGAACATGTATGCTCAGTTACTTCCTCTTGCTTTGCCTGCACCGCCAATGCCTGGTATGGGTGGACCAACAATGGGAGGAGGTTTTGCTCCACCACCATCCATGGGTGGAATGGGGATGCCACCAATGCCACCTTTTGGCATGCCACCGATGGGCAGCTATTGATGGGCAGCCATTAATACGCAAACAACCATCCTTTTTGTAGAATTAGCTGCGAATTCCCAGTTGCTTCAAGAAAAAAGTATGTTAGCTGTTCAGGCTTTTGATTTGGTGGTGTTTTTCTGGGCTTGGGTGCCTTCATTCTTTTTTTAAGTGTTTGTTTTGGTGGGATGAAGGTGTAATTAAAATAATGAATATGCCATTTTTCTGTCTTAGGTGTGTGGATAAGTGTTGTAATATTCTTTTGGTAGGAATCATTTTTTGGCTGCTGGTAGAAAGCAAGCTGAGGATTTCCTGTATTTGTAATATTTTTTCCCTTGCTGTCCAGGAGCTAGCCAGCTGAGTATAATACGAATTGTTACATAAAAAATACCTAACTTGATCTGTTATGGTTTTCAGTTTAATTTCATCCTACCCTCTTTGGGTTAAGTTTTTCCATTAAACTTTAGATGTAAGGTTTCTCTTGTAATATTTTTTCCCTTGCCATACAGGAGCTAGCCAGCGGAGTATAATACGAATTGTTACATGAAAAATACTTGATCTGTAATGGTTTTTAGTCTAACTTCATCTTAACCTCTTTAGGTTAACTTTTTCCATTAAGCTCTAGATGCAAGGTCTCTTTTACAATACTTTCTTTACGTTACATGTTTGTGGTGGTTACTCTGTTTGTATATTCGATTCCAAAATAACAATCTGAGCTCGTGTCCACATTTTAATGTTTGGTCTCTGCCCCATGGGGTTTAGGAAGACCTGCTTCGACGATATTCTACGACTGTCAGCTGACAATAATTAGCTTGCCTGGCCACGATTACAAGTGCGCTTGTCAACCCTAAAACATTGGTGTGTGCTTTAGTCTTGAGTCGCAGCAGGCCCACCTGAGACGGTCTGCTGGATGGCGATTCAAGTATCATGTTTTCTTTCTTTTCTTTGCGCTCATCATTAATTAGCACTGTTTGTTTTTCTCGCTCGGTCCTTTTTAAGTCCTACCAAAGATCAGGTGATGGCAATTTTAAGCTCTGCTGTCCTATAGAGAATTCCAGCTTTGGCTCGATAAAATATTTAAGATGGATTCCATTTGGGTTATGTATGGGTGTTGTGAATGCAATCGTTTGGTATGGAAGAAATGCATCCCAACTTTTGTCTCTATACAAAAAAGTAATGAGTTATGTATCATTAATCATTGACAGGGATTAAGAGATAAGAAGATGATTTCCTTTATGATAAACATGAAGTTGTGATTACTTAACTTGTCTTCAGCGTAACAAGGGTCTAGTAGGGTTTGTTTTAGTGAATAAACTAATGTTAATTGTAAATGACAAGTTTAAAACCCATCTGAAAAAGACTTACTCTTTGAGTATTGAAGTTGATACGAAAATACTCTTTACAATTAAAACTTGATAAAAAGAAGAATACATTTCAACTCTTCCAAAGATACAGATTTCAATGAAGGGGCAAAATTGAAGCATAAATAGGTAAATATATCTTTATATAATTTTTATAATCTCCCATATATTTCTAAATTTTCAATTTCATTCTATCTCGTCTTTGAAATTTTTTGACGTTCAATCTGTCATTTTAATCAATTTTTCGACCATAAAATTTTTTTTATTCAAATACAAAAAAAAAAAAAAAATCTAAAGATTTCAAAAATAGAACATGCAGATCATGTAATTTTAAGTTTTCTTTTTTTGTATTTTGGTAAAAAAAATTGTTCATAGATCAAAAGATTTGATTGGAAGGATGGATTGAACATTTTAAAAAATTTCAAAAATAAATGGGATGCAATTAAAAATTTAGAGAGAGATAGAAGATTTTGGATATTATATAAAGACATATTGATATATTTATCCCAAATTAAAATCATAAGAGTTTAAATTTTAAACCACACTTTCATTTTTAGCATGCATATATGCAAATTATAGTTTAAAGTTATTTCTGCAGCATGCAAAAGTTACCGTGGCTAACTCTTTGAGAAAGCATATAGTTGATGATTAATATCAAGAAACCAACTTTTAGTTTATGAACTAATTTGCCTTGAAGAATCCTTTTTTTCCTTCTAGGTTTATCACTGAAAAATATACGAGGTATTTTCAATAGTTATTTAAAGAAACTATAATTATAGTATCCTTATAGTACAAACCGTTGTACTGTAAAATTTTATTTAATACTAATTACTCCACAATTATGTTCTTAATAGTGCAATTATGATTCAGTAAGTGCTATTTCCTTGAAGAAAAAAAGGATGTTGTTAAAATTCGTAACATTATCTTACTGTATTATTGTTGATATAATTTATCTTTTTATGATTCTATTTATTACGCCATAATTGTGATAATTACAGATAATTAAGTATAATTTCAACAAAAAAGCAACTTGTTATCTTAGAGAATAAAAAATTACTATTTATTTCATAAAATTTCATTTTTATTTCCTTCTTAATAAATAGTTGATTCATTAAAAAAAGAAAAGAGAAGGAAAGAAACCAAATCGTGAAGATGAAAAAAAAAAAGAAAAAAAGAAGGATGTGGGGAACCAACATTTTTTTCTCTAATCAGTAGTGGTTATTTTATTAAAAAATCTACCTTGATGGTTTAGCTTCAACAACGTACGTCTTATTTTTATTAGGGGTTAAAAGTTTTTAAGCGTTTTTCTACTTTTGATTTTGTACTAATTTTTCTCTCTATTTTTATTTTTTTTAATGTCAACCCTCTACTTTTATTTAGTCCGAATCTGAAGGGAAGTAAGGGTTGCTAGTTAATCATCCAGCAACCCCTGCCATATGCTGACATTTGACTAGTACCATACTATATTTATACTAGAAAATACATATACCAATTTTTATTTACCTTTTCTTCTTTTTTTCCCCTTTTCCTTTCTTCATCTTCCTCCTCATTCTCTTCCTCTTTCCACAGAGGCTGCGACTATGCTTCAATTGAATTCACATGACATCTAAAAAAAAATCACGTAATTTAGTGAATTAGCCAAAATTGCAATGTTACCTAAGTTTCAGCAGTGGAAGCACCACCATGGTCACTCATATGAATCTCACACCAGTATCCACCATAATAGTCACAAGTTAACAACAAACCCTTTCTCTTCATTCGATCATCTCACTCGCTCAATTACTCTCTTATGCCACTCGCAAACAATAAATATAAAAAAATTATCTAAAATACTTAACACCATATAATTCATTGATGCATTAAGCATCATTCGCTAGCTTCTATAAGATCCAATTGAGCAAAACCTCCAGAAAAACAAGAGAAATTTGAAAGAAAGTGCAGCACATGTAGATTTTTGTAACAAAAACCTCAATCATAAGATAGAAATTCAAAATTCATCATCAACAAGTTGATACACTTCGAAATCCAAAGACCTCAAAGCCATACTATTTTAATCTCTTGTAAATGTCTAAAATTAAAAACAAACCGATGATATTATGAATCTAAAAACCGAATGATTTTTACAAACCCAAAAACCACCATGAATACAAATAGATTTAATGTCGAGATAACAACATACCCAACACCAATGAAGGTTGAGTGTAGATTGGTATGAAAGTGAAAAATAATGATGGATCGAGTATCAAAAAACCATCTAAACCTAAAGCAGTTTTATATTACTCTTTAGCATGTACTTTCAAATAAAAACTCTTTGAATTTGAAACTCGCACATACCCATCACTAGAATTGGTGAGATTCAAACTTGTAAATGTTTGATTATCAAAGCTTTAATACCATATCAAAGTATCATTTTAATCCAAAAATTTAAATTATTATATGAGATTTCAAAAATGATTTTATATTACTCTCTAATTGTTGAAATTGGGGTTTAGTCATAATTCAATCTCGTGATCTCATAGATGGAAGACATAAGAGTTTGAGGAATTAGAATTTCAAATTTTATTCCAAGATTATTATTATTTATTATTTATTATTATTATTATTTTATTGTTATTGGTTAAAAGCTTGTAAGCGAGTGATTTGGTGGTGGAGAGAAGAGGGGAAGAAGAAGAAGAAATAAATAAATAAATAAAAATAGGCATAAACATTTTTTATGTATATGGTGTAGACACTTGACACGTGTCAACATATGATAGGGTTAATTGACTGATAGCCATAGCTTCCAGCAAAATAAGGATCCAATTAAAACGATTTTAAAAATAAAAAAGGAATATTAAAAAAAAAAAAAGGATAGAAGAGGCTAGGGCAAAATTAAGAGTACATAGAAGTAGGGGTGAGCATTCGGTTAAACGGTTTGGTTAAGCATAATTTGGTTCGGTTTTTGGTTAACCAAAGTAGGAAAAATAAAAATCGAAACCGAACCAAAATTAATTCGATTAATTTGGTTTATAACCAAATTATTTTGGTTCGGTTTTGAAATAATTCGGTTTAACCAAAATTTTTCATTACTTCTCCATTTCGGACTTTAAACAGTTCTCCCAAAACTTTCATTTATTTTTTCTTTGTCTAAGCTAAGTAATTAGCAATGTCGAGCTAACAAGTAACCACTTTCTTTTCTAAAAAGGATTCAACACCAAAAAAAAAAAAAAAATTCATAGTTAAAGTCAAATTTAAACACTCAACATGTTTAACATTCATATATCGAAAAGGAAATAAGTCATGCAAAAGAAGGGATACCGAAATTTTATGTTTTACTAAAATTTTTGCACACATCAAAATCAAAAAGTATTTTTTTCTATTTATTCTCTTTTTATTTCGAACATAAGAAAATATAAAACATTAAGAAAAATAAAAAATAACCAGAAATGAATTCAAATTTTTTGGGGAGTATTAGATTAATCTTGTTGAGTGACTTCCAACACAATTCTATTTATGAAACCGTTCTTATTTTTTTGAAAGCTAAAGAAGGAATTAAATATTTTTAAAAATAAAGTTTAGCAAAGGTCAAATTCAAAAAACTTGAAATTAAAAATTCATGAACTGATTTTCAATAAGATTAAAATTTGGAGAAAGCTTGACCCATATAGCCAGGAAATAAATAATCGGAATCTATAGTCATGCTCGCTCGGCAAGATATGGAGCAATTTCTTGATGTTGCCATTGACTTAAATGAATTAACTACTCTCATGACAAGAGTCTCGAGTCGGAGGTAGCAGATAGGCGTATGATGCTCGGATCCAACTAAATCCTATTATGCAATAGGCATACAAGTGGTAGGTTGAGTTTTACTTATATCATTGTAAGATGTCCTAGTTGAATATAAGAATTGGACTAAATGATCAATATCTTGCCATTTTCCACAAGCCACAACATTACAATTTACAACAGAGAACTCCTTCTATTTTTCAACTCTAAACAACCGAGTACAATAGATTAATAGTACTGCTGGTCGCCAAGTCCGAGAGTGAGAGAGACCGAGAGAACGCCCAAACGTAGCTAGGCAACACCGTAGCGGTAGCGACATCGACTAACGAGGCAGCGGCAGCCGACATCGAGGGATTTAGGGTTAGGGACTTGGTATTTGACTATTTGGATGGAACTGACTAAATGAAGAAAATGAGAAATCACTAAATTAGTATCGAGAGAGTGAAAGTGAAATTAGAAATAAAAATTTAGGTTTTTTGGTTTGAACCGAAATTTAGGAATAACTTTTGGTTTTCGGTTTGAACCGAAATTTTTTTAAAAAAATCAAACCGAACCGAAATAAATTTGGTTTTTTTGTTCGGTTATAAATAATAAATTTTAAATTTAAAACCGAACCAAATACCTTAATACGGTTCGGTTTTCGATTAACCGAACCGTTTGCACACCTCTACATAGAAGCATAGAAGATTTTAACCTTGTACTCGGGTTTAGTGTACACACCTGAAGTGGTCGGTAGATCAATGATGACTGAAAAATATTTTTTTCCAATACTCTTCCTTTGGTTGGAGAGAGTGCAATAAAGGACCTAAGTTGATGTATTTGTTTCAATAAACAATACTTACAATACTATCATCGCTAGAAAAAGATGATGAAGAAGAAGAAGAATTATACTTATCCCATTGACACTTTAACTCCTTGCAATTCCAATCCAAATATTACGAATTAAGTAAACTTTAATTCCAATCTCAAAAAAGAATCAGAAGTTGCACCCTCTGTTTTTTTTTTTTTTCAAAACAAAAGCCCTTTTGTTACCACAACACTTTTTATTACATGATACCCAAAAAAACATTTTGGAATCACCTCACAAGCAATAGAATCAGGCTTCACACAATATGAGAACACGGATTTTACTGACAATACATTGAATAATGATGACTGTTTAAGATATAAACACTGTTTAGGTAACCTAATTTATAAGGCCTAGAGCATCATTCATTGGATAATGACGATTTTTTAAGGTATAAATATTGTTTAGGTAAACCTAAGAGGCCATGAACGTACCCATCCGACGCACAAGACCTGATCTCAAAACCTACAAGCCATCTTTTTATGTAAAATTGTTGATATATATTAGACGGATCTTAGCAAGTTGATGCATATTTTTTGATAAACTTTGCAGCAGCAGCAACACATAGATCCTTATATTAGGACATACGAATGCCGGCCTACAAAACCTATATATATATAAATATAGGAGGGTGGATAGTTGAATTCGAAGGTTAGATTATAATACTAAAAGAGTTGTGGATCAATGTGAATATAATATAAAAGTTTAAGGATCAAAATGTAAAAATAAAAGTTTGAAAAATTGCAGCTTTTAATTAGATATATGCAGACTGGACATCGGTTGGAAGTCTCTGTTTTCAAACCGCATGTTTGGTTCGAAAGTTGATTTTTTTAAATGATTTTTGTTTCAAAAGTCATGGATATTGAGCATACTGGCCAAATACTGAAAATATCAGTTATTTCACTAAACACTATAAATACAAGTGATTTGGTTGTTTGAAAACAATATTTTTCTCTCACTTTGTTTTTACCAAAAATCAAACCAATTTTTTTGAGGTTTTCCTCAAAAAGAATCTCTTGTATTGTTATTAAATTGACTCTTGGTGTCTTTGTATTGGTCCTAAAAATGCACAATAGCAACTATTTTGTCGTGGAGGCAAATAACACTTTAAAAATAGTGAATTTTTACCTTACAAAAACACATAATATTGAACATCAATTCTCCGAAACAAATTCTATCTTTATGCCCTACTTTGTCTAGCAATATTGCAAAATGATTTGGGTCATTCCATAAAATTCCACTAAATATTAGAGGTTTATTACCTTCATGATTGACCATTATCTTCTCCCTGTGGATTTCAACATGGTTAACCAGCATAATAATGGGTTATCCATGCGATCGATAATTAATTATCAATTTTATTTAGAAAAAAGTCTTAAATAAATAAATAAATTATAACTAATTTGATAATCACATATCATCAAGAACATTAATCATGAAAAAAATATAATAAAAACAACAATCAAATAGGATTTGCAGGTACATTAGTTATTCTTACACAACACAAAATATCAGTTTAAAATAGAGAAAATTATTATTTAGTCATTGTTTTTTTAACAAAATAATTAGTTAGTTCCTCTAGTTTAAAAAGCTAAATATCGGATTCATATACTTTTATTTCTTTTTATAAATTAGTCTGTTGTTAATTTTACATTAATAAGGTATTGAGCTGTCATCAATTTAACTATTTTTCTTTACAAAATACCCTTTGGACCATATATTAATTGAAGTCATATACGGTCAAGGGACTTGTTTATGATTTTCAAAACTAGATGTATTAAGTTATATATCACTGAAAATACAGGGATTGAATTATTATTTAATTGTTTTGGTATTTTGATTTTTGGAGCGGATCAGTGCTTTCACAATTTCTTTTTGTTATTTGTCCAAAAAAATAATAGTAACATGATACGATGAGAGTGTTGGCATAATGATGATGGTGGTGCCACACTTGCTGCCACAAAAGTAGAGTTTATAAATTTAATAAGTGGGCATTGGACCGTGGCATACACGCTCCGTAAAAGAAAGTGGTGCTAGCACATTAGCTCATCTCCTCCACTTGGTCACAAGGTCATCCGCTCCTTTTCGCACAAGCACAGCAGCTGGACTTGCTGAACTCACAATCTCTCTCTCTTAAAAAATTGAACGGTTCATGGTTGGGACTTAAAAAAGAGGAGAGGATGGCAATTTCTTTAAATTCTGTTGTAGGGTTCAATTCAACGGTAATTTCCCTTCCTTTGTTTGCTCCTCAGAGTTTGCTTTTTATTCTTCGTTTCTTAGTTACTGTCATCTCTTTTGGGTTTCTTTATTAATTGCCTAGATTTCTTGTTAATACTGACAGTTTGCATGCTATTTGTGCCTGTTTTTTTCAGTCACTTGAAAAAAAAAATACACAGGTTGGAATTTTAAAAATAGATGTGATATGGTACTTTAGTAATAGTTGGAGAATGATGGCGTTTTGTCTTCTTTAATGGGCTGTCCTAATGATGCTTGAAATGCAAATTAAACAGAAATTTTGTGCCTAATGCCCTCCATTTTTGCTGCATCAAGTTAGAATTTTATGTAATAATTCATTGGTTTATTCATCAATTCAATGCCCCCTTTTATCATTGCTTTGCAAAATGAAGCACGGTTTTCCAGTTGCCTTGCTACAGATTCTGCAAGAGTTAATAAGGTGATTAATGGAGATCACGATTTTATAATAGCAAAGCTGAATTTTTGGTGCTGAATTCTTCATTCCTTCTTGGTCTACTTAACTATTAGTGTTTCTGCAATCATTTAATTGATGGAGAATAGTGTCTTGTATGATGTTGGAAAGAAGGTATATAGCAAATGCTAGATGAAAAACTGTTTTTTGTTATTCTTCTTTTCCTCTGTGCTTGGAAAAACTTAAAAATCCACAGCGCAAGCTATAATATGTTGAAGATTATCTGTTTGAAACTAATGTTGTTGGAAGCTTTTTCCTTCTATTAATCTAATATGTTGAAGATTATCTGTTCGAAACTAATGTTGTTGGAAGCTTTTTCCTTATATTAATCTTCTGCAATTTTTCTACTAGCACTTAAAATAAGGTGATTTTGCTAGCGAAAGTTCGTGAAAGCAATTATTAAAAAAAGTTAAATGCAGTTGCTCCATTCTTGCATCAAGCGAGCGCCACTAATTAATTTTCATGCCTCTTTTGTGTACATTTCGTCGGTCATTGTTTTTTGTGTCTATGTCCTAGTTAAATGAACCTGAGATAAAATTATTTTAATCTCAGAAACTTTTCAACTACAATTACTTTTTTCTGTTTTACCAATACTTTATGGCTTTCTTCTAATTCTACTTCATCTTTGATCTTTAATAGTTCAAGGACCTTTTTCTATAGGTAAAGGGAAAAAAGAGACAGTTCAGATGGTTTGAGTTCACTTCCACCCTAATAAATCGAACTTATATATATTTGTGTTTTTTTTCTTTCACATTTTCGCTATTCAGCAGCCTTGATAGCTATGCTCTGGATTATGCCAATTGATTGGGTTTAGACATATTTGGTGGCTGTTATTTCTCGAGATTATTTACAAAAAATTTTCTCCATTAAAAGCTGCAGGCCAAATACCAAAATGTGTGTATACCAAAAGCCACCTCCTTGGGTATGCTTGCTTCAAGGATACATATAAACGAAAGAAGAAGGGGGTCATTTGTTTCAGCTGCGGATAATGATCGTCTTGTCACAGATACCACTGTTAAGGGTGTTGGAGGTGCTGAGAGCTCAATTTCTGACAATCATCTGTCAACAGTGAAATCCTCGTCTGAGGATTCTCTAGGAGGAAACAGTGTTGGTGAGGAGTCAGGACCTCAAATCTCTGGAGCTTCTAATGGTTCAACAGTTTCTGCAGATATGAAGTCTAGGCCTAAAAGGTCACGTCTAACAGCAAGAGAGAGACTAAAGGCTGCGAGGGTTCTCAGTCGTTACACAGAATCAAAGCCATCAAAATCAGAAATGGGCAGCAAAGTATTGGATGCCCTGAGGGAAAGTGATAAGGGCAAGAAAAGATCTGGCCTTCCAGAAGCCCCTGAGAACATGTTTGATGACAGCAAGCGAGGGATGCCAAAGGACGGATGGACTTTTCAATTTCCAGGGGGTTCAGAACTCTTTTTCATTGGCGTTTCATTTGTTTTAATCAGCACAATAATGTTTGCAACGACTTACGTTGTCTGGAAAGTTGGTGCAATCCATTTTGATGAGTATTAATTAAGGTGGAATTTGGTGGGATTCTGCTATTTAGATGAGCTACCTTTTCAGATGCATCCATTAAAAAGAACGCAAACTATTTGCTTTCAGGTATTTGCTCAAGTTTCTTGCAATTATAGGATTTTAATGTCTTCTAGACAGGATACATACATGAATGTACAAAGAATTGCTTGGCTGACATTTATGTATCGAAGGAAATATATCGGGATGCCCTTTTGATTCTTATTCTTTGTTGTGGATCCTTTTGTGTTGGCCTCGATTAAAATGATTTTTAAACAAAAAGTTTTTATAATGTGGTTGGAAAACAATCATAGGACAATCTATCATTCATTCAGATTCTCAATTAGACGGCTAAAGTAGATAAATAAATAAATTTAATTGGATATCAAAATATTAATGAAAATAGTTTCTTTATTCAAAACATAAATTAACTCACGATAATTAATTTCAACAAGTTTATAACTATACAATGCAAAGTTGAACAAAGATAGAAATATGTAAATACTGAATTAAAAATCTTTACAAATAATTCTGATTCTAGAAGCTTAAATAACACTAACTTTGGAAGTAAAAGCATAAAAAACTTATAGACGTTGTTGAATAAAATATAAGAAGGCAGGCAAAGGATAGTTATAATTGGAGTTATGTAATCACTGTCCTTAAGGATATTATTTTGTATTCATCAAGATAAAACCAACCTTTTTGGAATTAAAACAAAAAATTTGGATTGATAAACGGTCATAATGGACATGTTCCATGACAGCAAAAATATGAGTTATTTTTAAGAAATCCAGGTTTAGGTCATAAAACCTAAATGAGTGAGTTAAAAAAAAAGATTTGGATTAGGCCTTGTTATTACGAACAAGGGGCGCAAATAAAATATTTTGTCTTAGCTTGGCTCAACTCGTTTGTGTGTGAGCCCAATCCATCTTACTTACTTTTTATAAGTTTATAACACACTCTCTTAATAAAGTATTATCTCATGCCTCTTCTTTAGCAATGTGGGATGAAAGGTTGTGACAATCTGTTGAAATATTTACAACAAGAACTCCTAAACAAATTCCAAACATCGAGAGACAAGATTTGTGTGTGTTGCAATAAAAGCGACAATCGAACCAGAAATGATCTGTCAGTCTACATGATTATAGCCTAAGTGATTATTGCTTACAATCTATAGCCTACTATGTTTAGAGTATTTGGACTGAAAGATAAAATTAATAATTTGCAAAAGTATTGTATTGTAGTTGATTGTGTTATTTGTTGTGTGTCCTTGTTCCTGTGGCTGCAATTGACATTTATAGCCCTTTTAATCTTCTACATTCTTCTATATTTTGAATTGTAATAACTTTTCTCTTTGGACTGCAATGCTCTATATCTGCAATGTTTCACTTTTTTTAGCATCCCCTTTCGTCCATAACAACATATCACATTTCTCTTACTTCTACTTCTAGATACTCACTTCTGTTAATCTATTATTGCACATAGATGATTCGACTTTTCGCTTTTTTTTTTTTTTTTGCCACATTGCCATTTTGTCAAGAGTTGCGCTAAGCCTTTCTATATATACAAATTCTTTTAGGCCATTTTTTTTTCCCTTGTGTTTGTTTGAATTTTATTAAGTGGATTGGGCTTTGGGTGTAATAATAGGTTTTAAGGCTTTATGACTAAAACTTCATTGGGCTGCAACCCTAATTAAATTTGGTATAACAGGACAGTTTTCTAAATTTTATTTTATTTTATTAGTTATTTTGATGATAATGCTGTTTAATCTTAACCCAAATTATAGCATCATTCTGTATGTTATATGTACATGAGTGCGGGCTGATCCCATGTGAGGATTTTACGGTGTAGGAGGAGCATCTGTCTGCCAGTAGCACACAAGTTTCATCTTTTTGTGTGCTATAAGCCTATATTGTAATGCAGCATGCAGTTGTGTCGTAATTTATGTCCTTAACCATGATCTCTCCCTGTTTTTTCTTGTTCTTTTTTTTTTTTTAATGCATTGCCATTATATCTGACCCAAATCCAAGTAGATAGGCTGCCAACTTGATACACTGTTCTGCTTGACAAAACCTTTTCTGGATATATTAATTTCCTGATATGCACCTAGAATTGGGCACATTTTGCTTGTGTTTTGGGTGACTCTTCTTAAGTTTGGTGAGATTGTTGAAGCAGACCTTTGTCTGGGAGGAAGGGAGAGAAGGAAGAAAAGAAAAGATTGCATTCGTAAGCTCCAACTAGAAAAACTCAAAATTATTGACACCACACAATCCTGAGATAAAATTGGGAACGTGAATGGTTGATCGAAAGTCGTATCAATCATTAATCCCTCTTTATGGTGAGTTGCAGACTTGCAGTGTTTGTGTGCTATTGGGGCCCTGCATAGTGATCAACTGGTGATGGTAATTGTAGGCCTCTAGTTTGCTTGTGCAGGACACTGGGACAGTCCTTTTAACACTGAACAGATGAAAGTGGACAAAACAAGCCACCAAAATGAATAGCCTCTTAGATTTTCTAGATGATCCTCTTGGATATAAGCAAGAGAGATGAAAGCAAAACAGAAGTGAATAAGCGATAATAGATGAGTTGAAATAAAAGATGATTAATTTACGAGAGCATGTCCTTCAGTTGTTTCGGTTGCCGAACACTGTCCTCCGTTGCAATTTGCAGCGCTTGAACAAAATTGTAAATGTAAAGACATGGATCAAGAATATGATACATGATGGGACACATAAACATGATGCCAGTCTCAATCAGTAGAGCAAGTGGCCTTGGGCTGAATGGTACTTTATCTTTGAAGAAACAAACACAAGGTAAAGGCAAAAGAAAACATGTTATAGATAAGTAGCAGGAAATAGAAGAACTAATTATTACTCAAGCTGTGCAGAATCTGAGAATTTTAGCACTCTAGTCTGTAGTGACAGAATAATTCTGGGATTATCAGAAAACAGCAACAGAGTGATGCCCTAGATCAACCTACCATTAATCGATGATTTCCCACCACCGAAACAGTTATATTATGCTTCACTTGTATTTGATTGATTTCAAGCAACTGATCCTTCTAATTATTGTGAATATTTCAAAAGATTTTCAAAACCTTTCATCTCACGTTGCTGAAGAAGAAGCATGAGATAACAATCTCACATATTGCTAAAAAAGAAGCATGAGATAACGCTTTTATTATGAAAGTGTGTTATGAGCTTGTAAAAGACAAGCAAGATAAATTGTGCTTGTGCACAAATGAGTTGGGCTAAGCTAATGGAAAATGCCATGTTTGCCTTCCTTTTTTAATGCAATAATAAAACCCAATCCAAACCTTTTTTTTAGCTTACCCATTTAAGTTTTCTAGCCTAAACCTAGACTTATCCAAGATAACTTCCATTTAACAGGTCCATTATGACCATTTATTAGTCCAAGTTTTTTGTTGTCTTCTTTGATTTTGCTCCACTATTATCCCTATCTTTCTCTCACCAAATCAGCCTCAGTTAGCCTACAAATACCACCAAATCCGCTGTTCCCCTCTGCTTCATAGTTCTTTTGCTTGGTTTTTATTATTTTTTTTGTTTATGTTATTGGTTTTAATTCTAAAAGCGTTGGTTTTATACTGAAAGATGTAAAATAATGTCCTTAAGGACAATAATTACACGACTCCAACCATGGCTGTCATTTGCCAACCTTTTTATCTTTTATCCAACAGTAATTACTATGTTTTAGCCATATTGGGGTTACTCTGCTTGTTATGAAGTTAGCCAAGTAAATTCTTGTTGACGGGACAGCCTAATATGGCCAAACGATTTTCATCTGACCATTAAAGTTAACTAGACATCACACCAATCACCATCAAGAAATGCAAATCACACATTATTAGTGCAGAAACAGTAGCTGTGCAATGAATGCAGGATAAAAAGCAGGAAGAATCATAGCTTAGATTTTAGAAAGACAGTTGCTTTTTTGCTTGGACATGGAAGATCACTATTCTCCTTCTGGGCCTGCAGCTCCTGCAGAGGCAAACTGGGTTCAAACAAGTGCTGCAGTATATGATGAGTCCTTTTTAGTCCCATGCCAATCTCATGCCTCTGCTTCTGCCAACTTTCAAGTTCATGGATTCCCTTCATGGTCGATACCGATTCAGGAGGCTTCAGAAGATAAAGCTGCTTCTAGTTCCAAGAGTCACAGCCAAGCTGAGAAGCGGCGCCGGGACAGGATTAATTCACAACTGGGAATTCTTAGGAAACTCATTCCCGAATCAGAAAAGGTACACAAGCCTGTGTCTTAACCTTACTTGCACATGCACTAATCCACATAACTTTACCGGCATGGTTAGCTATTTCTGTCAATTACTCAAGTATGTTCTTTAATAGCATCAGATAAGGGTGCCAATTTTACATAATGTCCGACAAATAAGCTCTCTAGTAACCATTTGTTTGTTACAGTCCCATCAATCTTTATTTATAGTACAAGAGATCGTGTATCTATATCATCTAGCTCCTTTAACAAAACATCGTAAAAATTCAGATAGATTTTGTTGATTCTGTATTAGAATTCACTGACTACAGAACTTGAGATGAATCAATCTTTCCTGGCACAGATGGACAAGGCAGCCCTGCTAGGAAGTGCGATTGATCATGTGAAGGATCTCAAGGAAAAAGCAGCAGAAATCAGCAGAACCTTCACAATCCCAACTGAAGTTGATGAAGTAACGGTTGATTGTGATGTTTCTCAAGTCAAGGACGACCCGTTCATCAGGGCTTCTGTTTGCTGCGATGATCGGCCAGAACTGTTTTCGGAGCTCATTCGGGTACTCAAAGGCCTTAGACTAACCATTGTTAGAGCTGATATTGCTAGTGTAGGTGGAAGAGTCAAAAGCATATTAGTACTTTGCAATCAGTGCAGTAAAGAGGGCAGTGTCTCAATTAGCACTATTAAACAGTCACTTAATCTAGTTTTAAGTAGAATTGCTTCATCATCAGTGCCGTCAAATTATCGTATTAGAAGCAAGAGGCAAAGGTTCTTTTTGCCTTCTCATTTGTCACAACATTATACATAATCAGATATATCAATATTTCTTCGTCTAATGATATGTTTCTTTCGTTTCTAATTTTCTTTTTTTTTTTTTTGGCCCCCGAGATTATGCACAAGTATAGAGCGCCAATTATTATGTGGGGTTCTTACTTTATCTACAGAGAAAAGTGAATTTCATCGAAGGATCTTTTTGCTTCCCATAAAGCAACTTTACGTCGCCAAAAAATCAATTGTGGGTCTATGCCCGTTCAGTTAAAATTAGAGTATATTGTTTTGAAAGAATTTCGCTCACTCATAAGATACGAAAGAAAAATGCTACACCAGTCATATCAATCACCAAATAATTTTGGATTTTTTTTCCCACTCAAGAGGGAGAGTAAACAATGGACTCAAACCTTGATCTTCCCCATTATTTTATATTAGAAGTTTTGAAAATTTTCATTTCCTGAGAACTGAATGTGGTTCAATTCTTGATTTTTTTTAAAATAAGAATTCTTGATCTTTTAAGAGTCAATAATTTTATCATCAATTAAAAAGTTATGAATTTGGCACAAAAATTTAAATAAGTTCTAAAAACTGGCACCTCCAACTATAAACATTTTATTATTATTAATAATAAAAAAAACTAACTATAACCAACCACTATATGTTCTGAAGTTTTGATTATAAACAATGATTCATATCAAGCGATGATTCATATCAAGCGAACCTTATAAAGATCAAAAATCTTGTCAATATGTGGGCCGGTTGGCACATGTGGTCTCTTATCAAATCTCAATCTCATATCACTATTGTATGGGGTGACAAAGTTCTTTATATATATAAACAGTGACATATGATCAATTTTTTATCGATTGAAACTAAAATTATTATTTTTGGGATTGAACTAATATTAAACTATTTATTATTAAACTATTTTGTAAACTAAATCAGTTAAAATCCAATATTATTAAAAGATAATTATAACTATTTTTTTATTTTTTATAGATAATAAGAACTAAATTTTGATTTTAACTAAATCAAAATAATAAATGATAAAAGTGATAAAGTTCTACAGGTGGAAAAGACGGATTCTTTGTTACAGTGAAAGGTTAATACAGAGCTGTGTCACTTTTACTCAATGTAAACAGTTTGAATATTGATGATAATTTTTTTTTAATAGAAAGGACTGTGATAATTATCGGAGAATTTACATGAGGACCAACAAATCATTACACGTATCATCTTTCGGAAAAGAAAAGAAAAAAAAACAAACAAAAAATTACTTCAGTAGGTAATTTTCCGTGAATTCGTTTTTAAGATTCCTCGAGTTAATTAGATGCTTTTGTTGGCTTTACTGACATCCCCAGGATATACACTTTTGAATAAATTTCTTGGATTGGGCCCGAGAATCTCAATAATACATGCTCCTAAGTTATGCAAGATTTTATATATATTTAATCTTATCAGTATTTTATAATGATGTCTGGTTATTGATCTAACTATTGTGTTACTTCTACTTTGCCTAAATAAGATCAAATGGCATGGAATTTAATATATTTTTTTAAATATTGGTTTTAACGTTTGATTTCAAGAAGGTTACCTTTCTATTACAAGTACCCCCACTAAACCATGTTCCATTCTCAAAGTGGTCTGGCGTAGTTGTTCTAAAGAAAGCAAGAGCTTTATGACCAGAATTTGTGATGAAGTTAAAAATCAGCTGCATTGCATTGCTTGCTTTGCGATATGCATAATCAAACCCTAGCTCGGTCAAATTCTTTCCACGGCAGTAATGACAGCCTGTAACCACGTTGTTCTCATGGTATATGGCGGTTTTCAGGAACCATTTCCCTCCAGCAATTATAGCATCATCAAAACTCCTATATTGATCGGTCCATTTTTTTTATCAATTTTATCTAGATGAAGCTGGATTTCTGAAGAGGAATCTCCGTTCATGTCTTCAAAAATATTTGCTTGGATAAGGAATGGGGTCCAAATTACTGAAAGGGTGAAGTTGTGAGGTGGAATATACTGCCATATTTTGTGTGATCATAGAAAAAGAAAGAATTAATATAGGTTTTTCAACTTAAGATAACATGAGAATACAAAAAAAATAAATAAAAGAGCACCCACATATAGAGTAAATTATAAATTAGTCCCTCTAGTTTTAAGAAAAAAAAATTAATCTTTCTTGTTTAAAAAATTATTATTTAATTTTTTAATAAGTGTTAAATATAATTAATTTAATATTATTTTTATTTCACAAAATCTCTTATTTTCCCATTTATCTTTTCATATTTTTTTCAAAATTTTTTTTCTTTTTTTATTACTTCAACAAAAAAATAAAAAAATAAAAAAGGAGAAAAAAGATAAATTATAAGTAGATTTCAAAATATGAAGGTTAAATAATTAGTTTTTGAAACAAAAAGAATTAATTTATAATTTACTCCCCACACATATGCATACATATATCATATGCAAGCATATACATCCTGATAGAATCCATGACTATCATTGTGGTTCAAAAGAAAAAAAAAAACATTACTATTGTTATTGTAATCAAATAACTGCAAATTTTGAAATCCGTTACAGTATGACTCTCTCTGTCTCTTGAGCAGTTCAGTTCAGCTAACTCCCTTAATAACCGTGTGCAGTTCTTTGACACTTCTTTAGTCTCCCTCACTCCCTCTCTCTCTAACTGACAGTCGTTATAATTTTGATTTGTTGAAACTAGAAATTACCATTTTTTTTACTTTCGTTTTTCTAAGATAAACAGAAGAAGAAACCTAACTGCCGCAGTTTCGGAACCCTATTAATCTCAGCCTTGTATATTATTATACCAAACAAAATCAACAACTCCTTTAGATATTTCCAATGCAAATCAGTTATTTCATTCGTTCAGTTAACAAAAACTATTTTTTTTTCCTTTATAAATATCAATCTCAGTCAGTTATAACTTCCCCATCTCACCCACACCCACTCCAAAACAGAAACTCTTCCGTGAGCAACCCATCCAAACAACAACAAAACATCAAATTGAAAAAATAAAAAATAAACATAAAGAAACGCGCTTATAACTAGCAAAATCGTTATGCCAACGTGCGGTTTTACGGCTCACACACATCAACCCCTCTCCTCTTCTTATAACCGTTATTGTCTATCTCTTTCTCCACATTTTCACCTTCCTCCTCCTTAAATAAACCTCCGACAAACGTACTCAAAACAATTAAACACACATAAATTTTATATTGCTCATCTCATCTCTACAATCTAATTTACTAACTTATTTATTTTATCATTATTCTTCTTCCTCATGGGTTCTGTTAATGGTGGTCATAGAATCAAAGGTTCTTGGAGCCCACAAGAAGATGCCACTCTCATTAAACTTGTAGAACAACATGGCCCGAGAAACTGGTCTATGATAAGCAATGGTATACCTGGGCGGTCAGGCAAGTCTTGTAGGTTAAGATGGTGCAATCAGCTGTCACCTGAGGTGCAACATCGCCCATTTACGCCAGCTGAGGATGCTAAGATTGTCCAAGCACACGCTCTCCACGGCAACAAGTGGGCTACTATTGCCAGACTCTTACCTGGCCGTACCGATAATGCTATAAAGAACCATTGGAACTCTACTTTACGTCGAAAACGTGCGAGTGATATGTCATCTACCTCGTCCGAATCGATTTCAGTTTTGAAACGTTCGAATTTGGAGGTTTCCATGGAGTTGGAGTCTGAATCCGATTCAGGGTCCAAGAGGCAGTGCTTGCTTGCATTGCCAGGGTATAATAGTGTTAATGGAGATGCGGGAATTAATGGGCCTGAAACGTCCTTGACATTATCTCCGCCAGGAGATGGTTTTTTTCGATGGCTGTGGTGGAGAAAGTGGAGGAGGATGCGTCAGTACTGAAGGGAAGAGAAAAGGCTCCTGCCGATCAGATCACAAAAGACGGTGAAGAGAGATGTACAGGGGAAACAGATGAGACTTGCTTGAGGGCAATCATGCAAAAGATGATACAAGAGGAAGTTAGGATTTATTTTGATAGATTCAAGACTCAAGATGGAGTTATAATTGGATCTCAAAAGGACCTCTGAACTCACAATAAGCACTCTTGCTGCTTTTAGTTTATGTTCCTATTAAGATAGAAATAGGATTCGATAGTAGAGTTTTCTTAATATATGCAGCAAAAGTTATAGATGAATTTTATCTATTCCCCTTCCCTTTCTTCCGTCTTCTTTTTCCGCTGCAATTTTATACATTCCCCTCCCCTCCTTGTACAAGATAGAATCCAAATTTTTTGTGTAGCTAGAATTAGATTCAATGAACAGGTATGCCGTATAGGTACAAGAACAGACTCATAATCCCAAAATGATGGATTTATTTGAGGCATCAACTGACAAGTCCCAAAGTTGTCATCTACCATTGTTTCTTGTGTTAATGGTCTATTGAAATGCTCGGAAATCCACCTGATCAAGCAGCCATCATTCAAATCATTCATCGATCTCACTCATACTATATTGAATAATTCCTCTCAACTTGTGTCTAGCTGCTGCACTAATTCGTGCACTGGAGAATTGGTTTTCTCCTCCAAAATTTAACAACCGAACCGGCCAGTTTTAATATGGAAAGATGAAACTGCCGCTGGTAGTAAAACCACTGGAAAATTGGGGTTTCTAACAGAATCATTGGAACCCAGCTTCACTTTGAAATTTGTCTCATAGGCGTTCCAACGGGTAGATCATAAATGACGCATGCCATCGTGTCAAGAACGATTTACACTGATTGTCGATTACAATAAAAAGCAGTTTAACCGTTACTTTTTTTTCCTCGTTAATGAGTCCGACGATCCAGTTATTGGCCGGAGATTAGCGAAATAACCTGATTAAATTGTTACAAAACGTTATGTGGGCTTAATTAAGCGTAAATGAAGAAGTCTGATTAGACTTTTACAGACATGTGTTTTAGAAGTGTAGAGAAAGGTGAGAAGTTGGAAACTTAGAGTCTTTGGTGTGGTTAGGATTCTCATGTAGAGAAGACTTTGATAAGTTATATGGTGGAAAAGGTGGAATAATCTGTTTCACTTGATGTTAATGGCTTTAGTTGATAATTTTAGATAGTCGGCACATATGTTGTGATTTACTCTTTGACGACATCATTACTGTCATGATGAATTCCGATTTGATTAGAGTTGTCTTGAAAGAGCACATCTGTTAAATGTCATCGCAAAAGTTGGTGAGCTGGACTTTTCTCATCTGGGTTAAGTAGCTCGGGTCGTGAGGGGTTTCGATGCTTTTCTCGAGGAATGGTTCTTAGTAGATGACCATTCTCTAATGGCCTTATGTGTAGGGATGTTGGTTTGGTTTTAAAATTTTTCAAATGATTTTCGATTGATCGAATTTTTGTAAAAATAACTGAAATCAAATCGAATTATTATTTAATTTTTGATTCGATTTTGAAATATATTAATTTCAGTATTCGATAATTCAATTTTTTTGTGTTATATTTATTTGAAGAAAATATAAAATAGAAGGAAAATATAATAGTGAACTGTCATGGTCATTGAATTTATACGAATGCATTTTGCATCTACAATACAATTAATCTTTTATAAGCCACTGGCTATAAAACACAAGGAACAATTATAAACCAGTGGATAATGGCCACTGTCACTTGCTTTAAATTATGGAAACAAATATTTTCTCTTTATCTATATGGATCCATAGATTTGCCTTTTGGGGACTAGAAATGGTAGCTTTGCTTTACCTTCATTTATTTGCACTCTTAATAATCTTTTATTAAGCCAATGGCTATACCTAAATCACAGGCTATACCTAAATCACAAGCTCTAGCAAGAGGAAACATCTTCCCTCTTTCCAAACCATGTGTAGACTACGAATTCCAACCTCTACACAAATTTAATATATTTGATTAAACAAATAATTGTTAAATACAAGTTTATATCAAGGAAAGAACTATGTTTGATGTAAGAACAGTTGAATAGATGCATGCTTGTATAATATATCCTCCTCATTAAATTTTGTCAATATCCAGAATGCAATATGTCAACTAATTCTAATTGTTACAAAGAATATTATATCGTATCTTTAACATCTAAGTTGAAAAGGGTGAGGAGACAGAATATCGATTTGGACAGCTAGCAATCATTTTTAGTTCTACATTTCATATTCTTCAGGTCGTTGTCACATCAGCTTTCAGATATTTGTACATTTAAATATTACAACCAATTACTAATTAAGGCACCTCATTTCTACAACAAGGCTAACCATTCTTTAATTTCCAATCTAGGGCGTTGAATTTGCTCATTAAAAAATTATTGAATGGGATTATACAGTCCTTTCAGTAGTTGGAGTGTTTTATCATTGAACAACGCTAGGTGTGAATAAATTATTAAATCATATCTAGAGTCAGCGTGATTAAGCACTAAGGCAATTAAGGTTTTGTTTAATTTAGATGGGGAAATGAATTTATCAAAAGTGCCAAAATCAAAACAAAAAACTACCCATTTGCAGCAATCATCCTCATGAACTTGAAGAGCAGAAGACTGGAAGAAAAAAAAATCAACTCACCATGAACTTGAAGTCTTAAAAAACTAAGAATGGGAGAAGAGCAGAAGACTGAAAGTTGACCAAGGGATGTCTGAGGTACTTTGAGTCAAAAGATTGTCGATTGTCAAAATATATATATATATATATATATATTAAAAGTTTTGGTTTAACTAGTTTTTAAAAAAGAAAAAAGAACTCGAACCCGAAAATCAATTTTTTTTTGGTTTGGGTTTTTTAATTAAAAAAATATATCAAAATCGATATTTCAGTATGATTTAATTATGTTATTTGATTTTAATCGAATAATGAATACTCAGTATGATTAGCTTGACAAAGTGCGTGTTCCTCGAACCTCTTTGGGAAAGAGAGGTAAGTGTTACGTGTCACACAGACCCTTCAATAGCCATCTGTCTTTGAAAGTGTGCTTGAGTGAGACTTAAAAACATTAGCCTAGAACCTTGTAGAAATGCCTCTTTTTGTTAAAGGCAATTATCAACGCTCCTTCTATTATCTTTGATTTGCTCGAGTTAATTGGCAACTATGCTTTTTAATAACTGATGCTTCAAGATCAGTGTTGTTTTTTTAAGGGAGAGTAATTGTTCGTATGCAAGTGTCTCTACTGTCATAAGGAGTTATGTCTCTTATATTTTCTAGAATGGTAATGATTGTCGTTATTAAAGATCCATGCGTCTATTCTATTATCTTATTCATTCATTCAATGTTAGTACGAGGCTGCTTCATGGATCTGATGAATCTTAATTGTGAGGATATATATATATATATATATCTTGCTGGGAGATTTCTTCTATGAGTTTTGAGTTTCGTTGTAGAAACCCTTGGCGGTCCATTTAATATCCTTTTAGGTTTCCAAGAGGAATTCTCTCTTAACATCCATTTTTATTCTTGTTTTCTCCTTACCCAGTTTGGAGATATCACATTTGAGTTGAATTCATTGAGCAAGTTTTAACCTCTCAGATCTGCATTTTAATAGATAAACCCTTTAATTTGTACTTTCTTAGGAACATATATATGAGTGATTTGGAAAGAGTTAGAGATTCATCTTGGGTTGCAACTAGTGAGGGTCTGACAGGACGTACAAGTTCTAATATAGACTAGTCTTTTTTTCCTTGAGGTGATTCTAAATTTGTGTCTTAATTTATCACAAGAGGATCTAGTTATGTATCTAATAAAAGGTTTATTGCCTACTATCGTTTGTTGGGAGAGAATTTTCTTTTAATTTTAATTTTGGCTCATCATAGTGATAGGATGAGAAAAAAACATCTAGTACGGCCAAAGAAGAATATTTTGGCCCTTTTAGCATTGTAGAAGCTGGTGAGCTAGACTTTTCCCATTTGGGTTATGTAGCTCAGGTCGTGGGGCCTTCAATGCTTTTCTTGAGAATGGTTCTTAGTAGATGACCATTCTCTAATGACCTTATGTCCGATTAGCTTGACAAAGTACATGTTCCTCGAGCCTCTTTTGGGAAGAGAAGTAGTGCATGCTACGTGTCACACAGACCTTTCAATAGCCCTCCATCTTTAAAAGTGTGCTTGACTGAGATGTAAAAGCATTAGCCTGGACCCTTACAGAAATGCCTCTTTTTGTTAAAGGCAATTAGCAATGCTCCTTTTATTATCTTTGATTTGTTAGAGTTAATTAGCAAGTACGCTTTTTAATAACTAATACTTCAAGATCAGTGTTGTTTTTTTTTTTTTTTTAAGAGAGGATAATTGTCCGTACGTATATGTCTCTATTGTCATAAGAAGTTATGTCTCTTATATTTTCTAGAAAGGTAATGATTATCATTATTAAAGATTTGTACGTCCAACCAACTATCTTATTCATTTGTTCAATGTTAGTACGAGGCTGCTTCATAGATATGACGCATGAGAATTATGAGGAAATATGCTCCTTTTCTATATATATATATTTTTTGTTGGGAGATTTCTTCTATGAGTTTTAAGTTTCGTTGTAGAAAATCCTTGGCAATCTATTTAATATCCTTTGAGGTTTTTTAGAGGAATTCTCTCTTAACATCTTTTTTTTATTCGTGTTTATCCTTATCTATTTTGGAGACATCACATCTGCGTTGAATTCATTGAGTAGGTTTTAACCTCTCGGATCTGCATTGTAATAAACAGACCCTTTTTTTTTTTTTTATAACTTTTCTCTTCTTTTTTTTAGGAACATATATAGACTAGTCTTTTTTTCCTGGAGGTGAGTCTAAATTTGTGTCTTAATTCATTATAGGAGGATCTAGTTATGTAGCTGATAAAAGGTTTATTGCCTACAGTCGTTTGTTGGGAGAGAATTTTTTTAAAATTTTAATTTTGGCTCATCATAGGGATAGGATGAGAAAAGAAACCTCTAGTACGGCCAAAGAAGACTTGGATATAGTCGTTTTTACTTGTATGTTGGATATAGGTGCACTTTTCCTCTATCAGGCTTTGTGGTAGAGGTCTTTGAATATTTTGGTTTAGTATGTTAGATTCACCTATATGGGTGGACCATTTTTTATGCCTTTGATA